GACTTAGGACCCTTGAAGAATTAAGATTTGGGCTCATTTGGAGGTGGATGATGTAATTTGGATGATCCGGGTATTCGGTTTTTGTTTTGGAGTCAAAAGGTATTTTGGTAATATGTCAGCTCGGGCTTTTATGGAAATTGGATGTTTGTTCGGGAAATGGTAAGGCATGTACGAGTTGATTAAAGTGTAGAACTTCTTGTTACCTTTTCATGGATATATGGATCATCGAAATCAGATTTATAACGGGGAAGTTATGGCCTTCAGAATATGTTAGGGTTTGAGGGGAAACCCTAGTACGCGGGGCGTACCTAGGGAGTACGCGGGGCGTACTGATGCGATGGGCAGTACGCGAGGCGTACTGTGGTGTACGCTTAGCGTACTACGAAGGTTGGATCGGGGGTGTGAGACCTCGTATGCCCAGCACACGAGGAGTCCGCGGGGCATACGAGGTTTATGAGATAACCCTAATTTTTGATGTTGTACCATATATAAGCACATTAAGTCGTTAGGACTGGCCTCTTTACCAGCCTCCAAGTCCCCAAAACCCTATAAATCGTCCTTCAACCTCCATGGTGGTGTTTTTGAGCTCATGGTGTGCATCTTGGTGTGTTTTGGCTCTTATTCAAGAAGAAGGAGTTTGGTGCAAGGTTGTGAATCAAGGAAGAGCTTGTGGATCTTGATTATGTGCTTCATTTCAAGCTTGTTTGAGGTAAAAAGCTATGATCTTGTTCATTGATGGCTTAGATCTATTATGTTAAGTTTTGATTTCCTTTTTGGCCCCAAGAATGAGATCTAGTGGTTTGGTACCACTCCAGAAGCTATGAGTTGCCACTCTTGGTGGTTCTGAGGTTCTAGATTCATGAAGTTGTCTCCTTTAGGGTTTGGAATACCCCATGCATGAGATTGTGTCCATTTGGTGAAGTGTAATGCTATATCTTAAAGTTGGGTTCTTTTAGGCATGCAAAGTCACCAAGTCAGTGACTTTATGGTTCTAGACACTTGTTTGAACTCATATCTGTGGTTTAGACTTTTGGATTTAAGCATTAAGAGCTTAATGTCGATTTTGGCTTAATGGATGAGTACGTTGAGCGTACAAGTCTGTACGCACAGCGTACAAGCCAAATAGTGTGTACGCTTAGCGTACAACTGAGTACGCCACGCGTACTCAGTCAGGTGGGATTTGGCTTTTGGGCCTTTCAGATTATGAGTTTGGGCCTTAGTCTTGGACCAAGTTAGGTTAAGGGTAAAATGGTTTTTTTACCCCGAGTATGGATTTATTGTTATGGATTGGAACCCGTTTGTTAAATAGGTTTTGTTTTGATATTGATAGTTCGGGGATCAGTTAGCCACCAGCCAAGGATTTTCTGTGTGATTCGGCAGTGCGAGGTGAGTCTCCTCACTGGGTTTAGCGTGTTGAAGGCACTAATGTCGACCATGGTTTATATGTTAGGATGCTAGATGTCTGTTCGACTCTTGCATGTGTTATATGATGGTATGCTTACCGGGCAAGGCCCGATGCCAGGCGGGGCCTGATGAGTATATCGTATGCTAGTTATCAGTATGTGTTTTTATGCTTACCGGGCGAGGCTCGATGCTGGGCGGGACTCGATGAATGTATGGTATGCTATAGTCTTTGTGATTATTGTATGTGCTAGTAAGGTTACATGTTTATATGATTATATGGTTATATGATTATGTGTGTATCGGGCGGGGCCTGGTGATTGACAGATCTGTAATCCGAGCGGGGCTCGATGCCGGGTGGGGCCCGAGGCCAAGTGGGACTCAAGACCGGGCGAGGCCCAATGGAGGGCGGGGGCTCAATATATGATTTATGTATGTGTGGTATGTGGTATCGTGGGGAACTCACTAAGCTTTGTGCTTACGGTTTTCAGTTTATGTTTCAGGTGCTTCGGTTGGGAGAACTCGGGATGATTGCAGAGCACACACCACATGTTTCCGCATTCTGTGATTTACTCTGATTTGATGATGTTTTGATAAATCTTGATTACCTTGGTTTTATGGAAATGTTATGTATTAACGATTTACTAATCTAAAAACGAAAATTTTATGTCATTACTTTTGGGACGTTACAATTTCTACTATAAGTGTTAATAAAACTAAGAGTTATTTAAGATAAAGACAATATTGGCCATTGGTTGGTTTCACTATAAATAGCAAAGAACTGTAAGTACGAACCATGAATGCATGGAAGACGAATATGTAATGTGGAAACTTCTCGATCCATGCAATGCAACTATCTGTCTTTTATAGGGAAATTGGTTCTCAATACATATTTAATGGAATCACTCATTTTTTATGGGGAAACCGATTGCAAATCAATTAACCAGTTAATCGTAACCTCATGCTATAATTATATCTGTATAAATTTCATTCACAAGTGAATTTGTCTCTTTGACTTTTATTTCAATATATGACAATAATAGACTTTACCTAATTGGTTACTATATCAACAAGTTGTTTATCCCTAATGTATAATCATTTTCTTCATATCATATATATTCTTTCGGTTCTTATCAAACAAAGAAGTTATTTTTCCATTAATAAAGACAGCACACATAATCTCAAACGAAGAAATCAATAGCTTTGTTAGAAATAACATACAAGCTTATGATGAGCAGATGCACATATTGGTGATTTTTCGTTGTTACCTGGTATCTTCAAGCACATCGATGATAAAATTACTTTGCAAGTCACTCACACTTCATACTAAGCTTATTTAGTCTTTAATCGATAACTTTATTTGACGAGTGGATGAAAGATCGTAGGGTTGACATAGAGTTTTTTTGCTTTGTTTTTTCCTATGTTTTGTCACTTTTGTTTTTCAACTTGGTCATATATGTTTTTTTTTTATTGTTTTGGTTCTAGATTGTAAACATTTCTTTTGTTTAAATATAGAAAAATTTCACCTTCATATATATCTTAGTCATTGTTTAACTATCTTTGGCATTTTAAAATATATAAAAGTTTCACCTTCATCTATATTTGGATCACCGTTTATTATTGTTGGCATTTATAACATTGTCACGATGAATTATATTAAAATATGTGTTATTTATCGTGGTTCATGTATTAAAGATTTTGTTTAGTATTTCATTTGATATAAAGTTTTCTTTAATATTTTATTTTAGTTGTTTACTTATAACATTGTTATTATGAATCATATTGAATAGCATAAGAATGTTTGTTACTTAATGATTGAATGGTTAAAATATTGAGTTTTTGTTTAAGATTTCATTTGTTGGTTATGTTATTTTTAGAGTTTAATTTTGTTCATTGTGTTTCAAAATTTTTTAAAAAAAATTATAAAACAAAAATAAGTTCTTTAGTATATTTTTTTAATTACAACATAAAACTATTGTATATATAATACGAAATAACATAAAAATGTATTGATCCGAGAAGGAAAATATTCCGCATTACAAAATAATATAAGAAAATATCGATTCTCATAAAAAAGTAGATATTGTTCTTTTATTAAAAAATTGGGAATTCAATTGCTATTTTTTACATGATCAAAACTAAGAAATAAATATGAGAACCATATTTGATTCAATGTCTAACCAATTCAATATCAAACATATATACTTCGAGAGTCTAAACAAATTGATGGTATGCAATTATTAGATGTATTAACTTCTATTTATATGAAACATCCACCTTTTTTAATAAATGAAACCTAAAAATGACAAATGTCAGTTTTTTAGAATGTTTCTTTGACACGTGACATTTTTCTATGATTTTTATTATTTCCTTTTTTTTGGTAACAAATCAAATTCAATTCAAATTTTGAAAATACAAAATCATATTCTAATAACATTATTATTTTTATTTTGCTTAACAAATTAATTCATAATTACTTACAATCGACAATATCTTGATTTCTTTTACATTTATTATTTTTTTATCTATATAAAAGTTTTAAATATACCGACCGTGATTTCCACAGGTTATAACCTAGTTTACTTAATACATAATACACGATTTTTGGATAGATTCAACAACCGTCTTCGGTTTTAAATAAATTTTGGGTTGTTTCAACAACCATCTTCAACAATCATAAATGAAAAAATATCTCAAGATTTTTATTTTATTTTATTTTTCGTAAAAAAATCCAATATTCTAATATATACATAATATTTTTATTCGAAGATAAATAAATAAAATAATTTTATTTAAAAATATTATTTGTATTTGAACTTTAAAAAATCTATCTATAAAAATCAAATTAAACAATTTGTATATACATGACTTAGTAGACCATCTACTAAGACAGACAATGACACAAACTTCTTAAATTTGCCAGAAATTGTATGTATTAGATAATGCCAGAAACTTGTTGATAAAGAAAGTCTTCTTGGCTAAACTTGATGCACAAGAAAACTTGATACACAAGATAAATATAATAACGATAATACTAGTCTAATATCTAATAATCTAATAAAGTTGTCGTGATTGATTCCAATGCTTATCTTATTTCATTACAGAATTGTTAAAAACGAAAAGATTTATGAATATTCTCAATTAGAAAAGACAATTAATAAATTTTGATTTTTTTTTCATATAACACTTTCTTTTTGATGAGATGAATATGTTAAATTGATTACTTGAATTCAAATAAACAAATAATTTGTATCAAATACTTCCTACATAAGGAAAAATTCTTGTTGAATTGGATAAATATAATACTATAAACTATAATACTCCAGTCGAATTGTTACACTGAGATGTGTAATAAAGATTGAAACATTATAGGATACCTCAACCCCTCTCCAAAACAATAAAACCAAGGGTAAATAGGTAAAATCAAGTAAATTAAAATAGCAAAAGTTTCCTTATTCATACAACCCCTCTCCGAAACAATATAACCAAGGGTAAAATGGTAAACTCATGTAAAATGAAATAAGAAAAGTTTCCTTATTGATACAACCCCTCTCTTCTATAAATTGGCAAACATTTATTTTCTTTATTCCACAAAGAAAACAAAACACTCACTTTCTTTAGGGCTTTGATAAACCCTAAAACCTTCCATACACAATCATTTACTCAAATCTTCCGATCAGTTTCATCAATTTCACAAGGTAACTTGATTTCATTCGGCTTTTTATTATTCAATCTGCTTTTACATATATCAATCTATCTATCTGCATGTGAATGATGCTATTGGTTTAGTTTAACGAGCGATAGAAGCTTGTTCCTTTTTTCGAGTTCGTATATTAGTTGCAAGCCTATTCTGGAGGAGATTGAGGTTACGATACAGGAATTTATGCTACCATGGTTCTAGATTTAGATTGACATAATTGCCAAAGAAATTTGAATTGTGGGAAGCTGGTATCTTAATCCGAGCGTTAGATGTTTGCTTTTCAAACTACCAGAGAAAATTGTTATGTTAGTCGGAGAATGTAATGACTAATGAGAGAGTTTTACGTTACGTGTGAGTTCATTCAACTCGCTTCAAACAAATTTTACTAGGTTTAGTGTAGAATTTTGTGAAGAAACAGGAAAAATTAGAGTTAATGTATAATTTGGTGCTAACTATTTTAATCTGCCTTTCGTTATCTGAGAAGATGTATTTTGGGGAAAAAGGAGATTTTTGTTTAATATTGTTTCTTTTGCTTAAGAGTGATTATTGCTGTTATTATTGCAGTCATGGCGACTATGGTTCATGAAGGATCTCATTTTGATGCGGGTCAATTTGATTCAAAGATGAACGAGCTGTAAGTGCTCCTCCTCCTATAATCCAACTGCTAATTGAATATGAGAAATTAGCAAGGTTAATCTTTCACATGCTAATAATTTATTGGTTATACAGGCTTTCATCTGATGGACTCGATTTTTTCACATCATATGATGAGGTTTATGATAGTTTTGATGCTATGGGTTTGCAAGAAAACCTTTTAAGAGGCATCTATGCATATGGTAAGTTTGACTTTTCATCCTTGTTTACTTTCAGAATTTGGTTGAACAATGGAGATAATGATAATCTTCTATGTAGGTTTTGAGAAACCATCTGCAATTCAACAAAGGGGAATTGTCCCCTTCACCAAGGGCCTAGATGTAATTCAACAAGCTCAATCTGGAACAGGAAAAACAGCAACTTTTTGCTCTGGTATCCTTCAACAACTTGACTACAATATGGTTGAGTGTCAAGCCTTGGTTTTGGCACCTACACGTGAACTAGCACAACAGATTGAAAAAGTCATGCGTGCCCTTGGGGATTACCTTGGTGTCAAAGTCCACGCATGTGTAGGTGGGACCATTGTACGTGAGGACCAGAGGATTCTCTCAGCTGGGGTCCACGTTGTTGTGGGGACACCTGGACGTGTGTTTGACATGCTGCGTAGACAGTCTTTAAGGTCTGACTACATTAAGATGTTTGTTCTTGATGAAGCTGATGAAATGCTCTCTAGGGGTTTCAAAGATCAGGTTTAATCTTTACTAAAAATCAAATCTTGATTACTTTATCTGATTCTTAATTATCATCTGAATAACGGGTATGTTTCTTTTTAGATTTATGACATCTTCCAGCTGCTTCCACCAAAGGTTCAAGTTGGGGTGTTCTCTGCAACAATGCCACCAGAGGCACTTGAGATCACAAGAAAGTTCATGAACAAACCAGTGAGGATTCTTGTGAAAAGAGATGAGTTAACCCTAGAAGGAATCAAACAGTTCTATGTGAATGTTGAAAAGGAAGATTGGAAACTCGAAACACTCTGTGATCTTTATGAAACCCTAGCAATCACTCAAAGTGTCATCTTTGTGAACACTCGCCGGAAGGTTGACTGGTTGACTGACAAGATGAGAAGCCGGGACCACACAGTGTCAGCCACACATGGTGACATGGACCAGAACACTCGTGACATTATCATGCGGGAGTTCGTTCAGGATCTTCACGTGTCTTGATCACTACAGACCTTTTGGCCAGGGGTATTGATGTCCAACAGGTTTCACTTGTTATCAATTATGACCTTCCTACCCAACCTGAAAACTACCTTCATAGGATTGGAAGAAGTGGGAGATTTGGAAGAAAAGGTGTTGCGATTAATTTTGTGACATTGGATGATGCCAAGATGTTATCAGATGTTCAGAAGTTTTATAATGTGGTTGTTGAGGAGTTGCCTTCAAATGTTGCTGATTTGATTTGAATTTCAGACAAGGTGTATGTATAGCCTTGCTTTCTTTTTGGATTCTAATTGGTGTTCTTTTAAAGTTATTAGGGAGTTTTGGTTCATGTTACTTTTAACTTTTAGCTTAATTATACATTTGTTGAGCAAAAACTCAAAATCAAAACCGAAAAAGATACCGAAACCAAATCGAAAAAACTAAAAAGCACACACAAATATGCATCTCTACTGCAGTACTTTGTATCGATTTGTTAGGCTCAATTACATTACATAGGTCTACTTAGACCCAACAAGCCCAAACCAATATGTATAACTAGGCGTCTAGGCCTAAGGGTGACAACATTAATAAGAGGATTTTAAAATCTAAAACCAATCTTAGATCGATGAAAAATGATTATTTTACCCTGCTGGTTTATACAATGATAAATGTTGTTGCTGATTTATAAAAAACATACAAATTTTGATACAAACCTCCAAAATTCATGTCATTTTGAAATTTCCAAATCACTGACAAGCAACAAATGCATCTAGACATTTCTATGGTAAGGATGTAAGCCTTAAATAATTCTCCCAAACAACTAATGATTCAAAGTTAACAATAGTTGATATGTCTAGATTCCACCACATTGTAATTTGAGACCAATAGAGACATGAAATGGGCAAGAAAAAAGAATACGATCCAACGTCTCTATATTGTTACGCGACTCATATAATAAGGAATCCAATTCAATTTTGGAGTTGTCTAAATTGATCTTAGTTGGTAGCTTGTCCAATCTCATTCTCCAAGACAAACCGTTCACCTTGATTGGTACCAAGTTGTTCCAATGAATAAGTAATCTCCCACAACTACTTGTTGACTACATAACTGCTTTCTGCTTGCCATCCCATGTCAAGCTCCTTCGGTTTGATTATGCTTCTTGACTTGACTTATTATAAAAAGTTAAAAATAACTAACATCTAAATGAAAATCGATTAGTTATCTACCAAAGAAGATAGAGAGTTGCATATACTAGAAACAGTAACTAATAATATCTAACCTAGTAACATTGCAAAACTGTCACGATGTTTAAGAATTTGTCTATGATTTTTTTTATGGCAATTTGATCGAGAAAGTACATTAGAAGAGAGAGAGAGAGCTATTTTTTATGGCAATTTGGTCAACCCATGTCTATGTTACTCTACAACCATGACTTGATATATGTACAAAAGTCAACACAAAATAAAATCCCTTCAACAAGAAAGATTCATCGCAGTTATATTTCATTGATAACATTTATGCATTCATTCAAGTGCATGATGGTACTAATTGGCCATACTAACCTCAACAAGAAAGATTCATCGCAATTATATTTCATTGGTCACTATAATTTTCAAAAATGATTGCTTGGGTATTTCATCAACAAAAAAAACCTATAATATGCTCTGGTAAGATAGAAGGTTTATTTATTTATTTACAAAAATATTGTAGAAATTAAAGTAAAAGCACAATAAGTCAATAATAAAATGAAAATATATTGCTATCTATTACAGTTAAACCTTTTTATCTTTTTATTATTACATCTTTTAATAATTTGTCGTATATGTATGGTAACAAGTAATACTTTAGTGTTTTGTTGAATCAAACGTTTCACGAATTGGTATAAAAATAACCGTTAGTCGAACCGGAAAAGCAAAAGTGAAACGATCATTTTCCTTTTGTTTTACTTCTTTCTTTTCCTTTTTTCCTTTTAGTTGTTGTTGCACGTCTTTTTGCTGACTTTTTTTTAAAGGTCAATAAAATAGTACTAAATATTTTTAGTAATGGCCTGATCCTCTCAACATTGGATCCCACAACTCGCCTTTACTTACTCCCTTCCAAGTTATAAATAAGATATAGACAAAATTGCAAAAATCGTCCCTGTGGTTTGTCAATTTCTGTGGGTAAGGTTCAAAAAAAAGTTTATTAGCAAAAAAGGTCCCTATTTGATGGTTTTGTTGCAGTTTTGGTCCCAACCTCGTTAAGTTTAACAGCATGACTGTTAACTTTTGGCAAATGACGGATTTACCCCTAGGACCATTCCTGCAGTTTTATCTTTTTACCAAACTACAAGGACCAATTATGCAATTTTTCTTTTTCATTTTATTGGATTATTATATATTAATTATTTTATTTACTTTTTTCCTATTGTATTATTTTTTATTGGATTATCATATATTAATAAATATTATTTTTAATATTTTATTATATATTAATAAATATTACTATTTTTATTATTAATTTTTTTAATTTTTTTTGAATTTCTTCTTTATTGCATTAATTCTTTTTTATTGGATTATTATGTATTAATAAATATTATTTTTAACATATAATATTTATCTAATAGATAAATATTATATGTTAAAAATATTATTTATTAATATATAATAATCCAATAAAAAAGAAATAGATAAATATTATATGTTAAAAATAATATTTATTAATATATAATAATCCAATAAAAAAGAATTAATGCAATAAAGAAGAAAAAAAAAAAATAATTAAAAAAATTAATAATAAAAAAAAAATTAATAATAATAAGTTAGTAATATTTATAATATATTAATATAATATATTAAAAATAATATTTATTAATATATGATAATCCAATAAAAAAAAATACAATAAGAAAAAAGTTAAAAAAAAAAAAGTAATTAAAATAATTAATATATATAATTCAATAAAATGAAAAAGAAAAAAAAATTGCATAATGGGTCCTTATAGTTTGGTAAAAAGATAAAACTGCAGAAATGGTCCCAGGGGTAAATCCGTCATTTGCCAAAAGTTAACAGTCATGCTGTTAAAGTTAACGAGGTTAGGACCAAAACCGCAACAAACCATCAAATAGGGACCTTTTTTGGACCTTACTCACAGAAATTGACAAACGACAGGGACCATTTTTGCAATTTTGTCTAAGATATAATATGAACTAAACTAACCAAATTTTAACTTATATTTTAATTTCATATTATATATATATATATATATATATATATATATATATATATATATATATATATATATATATAGATATATATAATTTACCTCTTTGAGTTTTTTAATTAAACATCTTAAACTTAAAACTATAAAACTACTTTATAACTTGTGCATAAAAGCAAAATGGGGATATTAGCACCATGGTATCTCAAATTTAATATTATAAAGATGTTAAATTTATTATCGCATTAGAAAATGAGTAATTCAATGATAAAAATACCCAAATTACTTAGATGAGTTAATTGTTTAGCATAAAAAAGCATGTCATTATGATTATACCAATTCGTGAAACGTTTGATTCACTTGAACACTAAAGTATTACTTGTTACCATACATATACGACAAATTATTAAAAGACGTATTAATAAACAGATAAAGGGGGCGAAGTAATTGTCTATACAAATAATGACTTTCCTTAAATTAAGGAAATGATTTGGCTATGGTTTACATCTAATTTTGATTGTCACAAAATATCATGACAACGTTGTTGTACAATGTTTTAAGGATTAAACCTAACAAAACACATCTATATAAGTGTGTTCGGATATAAGTATTTTAGAGCATTTAAAAGTTTTCAGATTTTAATTTTTAACCAAAAAAATATACCATACGATAATACAAACTTAAGGTTTTTCTTTTAAACAAAAAACTTAGAAGTCAAAAAGCCATTTTACATAATATTTAGCAAAAAACTCCAAAATACTTTAACAAATTTACGTAATTATTTTTTAGAAATGGTGAATTTCGTATATGTCCTTTCAAAAGATCATATTTGTCTATCCTTAAATCTAAATATCATATTTATTTTTCTTAACTTTTAAAATAATATATTTGTCCAAAAAAAATTAAAAATTAATCAAGTTCTAGATTTTATAATCATTTTAATTTAAAAATGGAATAGATTAACCATATTGCCCTTAAATAATAAAACTATTTTGACATAAAATGGATTGACCTTGTTGTACCTACCTCTCATAACCCTCCGATGGTAACACATATTTGGAAGGGTAAAGTGTTGTTTGTTTTTTTGTAAAAAACATTTTCAGACATCTTATTGTTGTGCGGCGCAGCACACACGCAACATTTTTAATCTCGCAGTTGTTTGTTTTTTTAGAAGTCTTCAGAGTTAAAAACCTCTGCGCGTGTTCTGTTTGGCGCAACACTTGTATTGCATATTCCAACTTCTTCTTCTTCTTTTTTCTTACTGAAATCTTGATTATATGTTGTTGAAATCTTATTTTACCTTTTTTTTTTTTTTTTCGTTTTTTGGTTTATTCTTGTTGATTTTTTTTTGTTTTTTATATAGAATAATGATAATTTCTTGATGAAATATCATTATTTTTTGCTAAAATGTCTTTATTTTTTTTGTTGAAATATCATTATTTTTTTTGCTGAAATATCATTTATTTTTGCTGAAATGTCATACATTATTAAATTTTTGGTATTAAAAAACTATTTTCGGTTTATAAAATCAGTTTATTTTAATTTTTTAATATCTGCAGCAGCATGCAGATGTTAAAAAAAAACAAACATGTTTCTTATTACAGTTTGCAGCCGTTTGATCTACCTCTTCTAATGCAGATGGTTGTAGAGGTGGTCCGCAGATTTCATTAATTTTTGCTTCAAAAAAACAAACAACACCTAAGAGTCCAATCTATACGGTGTGATTGGTTTACTCCTTTGGTTCTACCTAAAAGTTTGAATGTCGTGTTTCCATGTTTGTTTTTAATTAATCTATTTAGTCAGAACCTAAAACTTTTTTTTGAAACGACAAATAAATTAAAACACCCACATCAAGACGATACAGGGGAAAGAGTACAAACAAAAAGGAAAAGTAGTAGAATTACAAGCAAAGAAAATGATTTAAGTTCTAAACTGTAACATCCTAACTTTCGAGGCTAAAAAAATTCATTTTTAATTAAGTAATCATATAAAATAATTTGCCAAACATTTCTAATATTATATCAATTCATAAAATCATTACGTCGTGTTTCAAAAACATATCATC